CGCCGTCCGAAATAGTCACATCACATGCCTCTTCTTAAATAATAATAATAATTTATTACTGCAAATGAGCGTACGCTTGGTATATAAAAATACAAAAATGAAAATTAGAACAAACAATTAATATCAATATTAAAAAAAAGATAAAACATACAAGTAGACAAACAAGAATGAAGTAAAATAATAACACAAATAGATAAGAATAAAGACATACATAAAATGTGTCCATCTCTACTCCGTACCTAACTCTTCACCGCAGCTTCGGTGACTATTTATTCATTAACGGTACATCGCACTTTGCCCTCACTTTGTCCTTCATTGCATTTCACTGCACTCTACACTTGCGCTCTTAAGAAATCTCGAACGCATAACTCGAACGTTTTTCGAAAGGGTCGCCAGCACCTCTGCATGTAAATTATCCCAGTCAACAATGGTCCTATTCCAAAGCTGAATTTCCCTACGTCTGTTCTTTGTTTTCTGCATTTTATTTTGTGAGAATGGTCGTCTCTTCTTAAGTAGCATGATATTTCAATTCTTTCACTGTTAGCTTTCCATGTCGGTTGTTTTGTGTACGTCTTGAAGAGAGCACACGCTTGTGTTGCCTTTTGTACGTTGATTCCCAGATGACACTTTCCCCGTTGTTTCTATTCGCGAATATCGTCGCTTTTTCCTGCACTCGGTTTAACGCTTCAATCTGGCCTTCTTTATGATTATATCAGCAATCTATTTCGTTTTCCTATGGAACTAGCCAAAGATATTATATATATATATATATATATATATATATATATATATTATACATATGTATTCCCCATACTGTAGGTACTCGTTTCTGCTCTCTTTTGCAAACACTTGACCTATAACTCCCAAACCCTACGAAATTCCCTCGAAGTCCTGTTTCCTCTTGAAAACTTATCTGGCTCATAATACACAGATGAGTCCAATCGCCCCAAAACGTGAACGTTGCCTAGTACATATCGAAAACAATTCTTGGAGATAAAATTCTCGTTTCCATGCCATAGCTTCATTTACATTGATTATTCCTAAAAAAATGGCAAAGTGAGATGTGCTTTCTACTGTCTACCACACGTAACTTTCGTATTGTCTTTGTGTAGTGTATACACTCGAGCGGAAATGAGCACTATTGGAGGCACTAAAATACCCACAATCAGTGTCGTTACGAATAGTGGTGTGCAAAAATTTCAAAAGTGCTTTTCTTCTTGTAACCCATTGACAATGAAAATCCAATGTAAAATACATTAGGTAATGTTGCATCATTGCAAATTTATTCTTTTAGTGTCCCTGGCCTCGCGGGAACAAGAAATAAAATAGCTGGCCAGCCAGGAAAGTTCGCCACCAGA